ACCTTCTCTGGAGTCGTACCCTGCAATGTAGAATTAGATATATTAGTACCATGCTTTAGCCCTGCAGGGCTATTAGCTACATTGTCTGGTTTAACGGAATCAAGATTAACATTATTTAATAAAACAGGTTCATCAACTCTGGGCATAGGGGGCCCTTCGTAGTTTGAACCACTCCTTTGAGTAATTTCATAGGCTTGATCCGTAGGTCTGGTTGGTTGTGCTGACAGAGCTCCCTGTTGGCGGGCTTGTAGAGTAGCGAAAAGTTGTGCAATTTGATTATCTACAATTTTATTATGTGCTAGAATTGAATCAATTTGTGCATCTCTACTCTCCATGTGCTTCTGTATATTAACCAATATCGCTCTAATTTCTACCAAAGCAGGGTCGGAAGATGAGGAGGATTGTTGTGGTTGGTCTTTCTGGCCAGCATTGGGATGGTAATATTTCTGCTGCTGTTGCTGTGGCTGTGGTGCCTGTGGTTCTTGTGGTGGTCGATTTTAAACATTAGTACTCCGGTAGGAAAGGTACGGATGATTCCGATACCCAAGATTGTAGGTGTTGGTGTATGGGTTATTCTGCCTATAAGCTTGAAAGGCATTAACTTGCTCCACAGAACTCCTGCAATCTTGTTGACAATGACCTATAATTCCACAATTTTCACAGAAAGCCTCATTAGCATTATTATTAATTGCAGAAACATTAGCTATATTAGCAGTGCTAAGATTATCTAATTTTTTGCAGATAGAGGTCAATTGAGCTTGCAAAAAGGATACAAAGTCAACACTATGTTTCCCTTTTTAGCAAAGCCACTAGGATTCCTATATTGGGAATTATGTATCGCCATATCTTCAATAACCTGACCTGCATTATCAATCATTAAGATTCATAAACCTCCCACTAGCTACAGAATCTAAAATTATTCTAGATGAATTTCCAATGCCATTGTAAAAGGCTTGGATTAACTGCCATTGTGCCAAATTATGATGGAGGCATTCTCTTTGTAGGTCCTTGAACCTCTCCCAAGCCTCATATAAAGTTTCATCGGCTTCTTGGGCAAAGTTCTGAATTGCACTCCGTAGTACGGTTGTTCTCTCTGCAGGATAATACTTGTTATAAAAATTCAAAACAAGAGTTTCCAAGCCAGTTATACCAAGTGCAGTTCTATTTAAACCATTAATCTATAATTTGGCTTTTCCAGTTAAAGAGAAAGGAAAGAGAATCTCCCTGATTTGGTCTTGTGTGACCCCGGCTTGCCTGATGGTATTACAATACTGACAATAGTCTGCAATGTGCAGATTTGGGTCTTCACCCTTAGATCCACTAAATTTCTTCCTCTCTATCATCATTATAAAATTGGGGTTTAATCTCAAATTGTACCCCAACAAGAGCTGGAGTGGGAGTGAGATGTAGAAAATCTGTAAGCTTTGGTTGTGAGTAATCACTAAGCTTCTTTGGAGCCGTCATCTCTGATTCTGGATCTGATGATACCTCTGAATCGCTAGAACCAGTTGGAGGATCTCGGTGATTATTATTATCACCAGAGTCCGCCAGAATTTGCTTGTAGAAATTCTTCTGTCTGTGAAAGGATCTTTCGATCTCAGGATCAAATGGGATGTACCCTAATCTGGAACACCTGGGCATAAACAAAAAAAAAACTAAAAGAAAATATGAGATTTGCCTCAAAGAACTAACATTCCCTGAGACAAAAAGAAATAACCTAGACTACAAAAATAATCAGAAACAAAAATAAAACCGTTTCCCCGGCAACGACGCCAAATTTTGACAGGGTAAAGTCGTATTCCCAAATCAAAAGTAATTCCTAAATCCTCTAACTAATGTAGATAGGGAAGTAGGGTCGAATCCACAGAGAAACGAGTCTTTCTATTCCTAAGTAACTAATATAATCTAGATTATGAAGTAACCAATATATTATAATTAAAAGGAACTAAGCTACGAAGATTAAGAATAAGGAGAAGACAAAGAATAAAAGGATCTAGGGCATAGGTTCACCAATAAATAATATTTCAGGGTAAAACATAATAATCAATCATCAATGCATATATTAATCAGATCATAAAGGGCTTTCGCTACGTATTACAATCACACAATTAATTTACCGGTATTAAATATCATCTTTCGAATCTCGACTTAACCATTTATAAATTAACCTGCCTATTAAAACTAGACCTAGACATCAATTCTCATCTGTCAAATCTCGAATCAATATTGTTAAACTCATGCATAAAATATCTGTGCAAATCTAGTCACAGAGCATTAAAATAATCATTAGAAAATTAATCTAACATTGACAATCAACAACAATAAATTACCCCTTCATATTATTTATGGATCCCCACAAACCCTAGAAATAAAACTACTCACACATAATAAAAACTAAACTAATCAAAGCAATAAAACAAGACATGATCAAAGGAATAAAATAAACAACTAAGATTAAGAGAAGAGAAGAGAAATAGTTACCAAATAAATCTGGAATTAAGAATAGAGTAAGAACAAAGTATAAGAGAGAGAAAACTAATATAAAAGCTAAGTAGAGAGAGAAAATCTAAGAAAATAATTAAGAGAGTAAAAAAGAGAGAGTACTAAACTCGTTTTACGGAGAAGTATTTATACTCCGTAAGAATCCTAAACTAAAACAAACTTAAACGTCAAAATTAACTCCTAATAATAACACGCGCCTGATCGGGCGCGCCTTTTTGCTCATTAGGTACGTTTCTCGCGCCCGGCCGGGCGCGTCTTCGGGCGCCGACCTTTGCTTCCCTCGCCCGGCCGGGCGCGCCTCTGGGCGCCAGCCTCTTTGGCCGGGCGGCTCTCTTGGGCCACTATTTGGACTACGATTGGGCTCCAATTCTTCGGGCCAATCTGGGTTTCCTCTTCGGGTCTTGAATACTCGGTCCAAATGTCCCGGTATCACATATACCGAGCCCTTAGTCACCGGTTCGATGGCTCTAACTGGCCCTGGGCTATAAAAACTGGTCGTGCTTCTCCAATGCTCGTGATTGCTCCATAATATCTCGGGAAAATTCCCCAAAAGTGTAAATCCCTGCAAAAGTCAACCAAATCTATGAAAACACTAGAAAACACCAATTAGTAATAAAAGTGGCTCTAAAGAGCCAAAAACACTACTAATTACGACCAAGGGACAGGGGTAAAATACTATATAAAATAGACACATCAGTATCTAAAAGAATACCATTAAGATGTTACCTTTAGGCTGCAAATGAGTAAATGCTAGGGACTTGAGCCTTAATTTGGTTGGAAAACGATCGTATTTAACAGTAAATCGCTGGAGATCTTTTAAAATTTATCTTGTGGGGGAGAGAGCAGAATTTTAGAGAGAAAAACTACTGGGAAAGAGAGTGAATTTTTTTTAGCTTAAGAAGTTGTCCTTTTACCCAATTTTGTTTTTCTTTAATGAGATGTCCTTTTCCCTTTTGAATCACTTCTCCATTTTTTAATTTTATGTTGTCTTTTTCCTTTTCTTTTTGGTTTTCGTTTTTTAATTTGTCTTTTTTAATTGCAAGTGGATTAATAGTAAAATGATGGGTGTACCCTCATTCGAGTTTTGTTGTTGGTTTATGTGTTGGCTTGTTATGTTGGGTGTTTTTGTTTTGTTGCTTATTATGGTATCTAGGGTATTGATTTATAGGAAATTTAACTACAGGAAAAGGTCAAAGAATAGAGATTTTAAGGTGAGAAATAGGCAAGAGAATGTAGGGAAAGGTATAAAAAGGAAATAATCCCATGATCTTCTCATTATTGTGGAAGAGTTTGAATACAAAGAATACAAACATCTTAACTAGGGTTAACAAGTGTGAACATAATAAATACACTAATTATTTACATAATCTAATACACCCATACAGTCGAAGTGGGAGGTTTGTGTACGCTAAGACTGTATCGAAAGTCGTCAAAGAGGATTTGCGAGAGACCTTTGGTGAAGATGTCTGCTATTTGATATCGAGATGGGGCGTGGAGGACGCAGACTTGAATGAGGGAAACCTTTTCACTCACAAAGTGGATGTCCATCTCGATGTGCTTAGTGCGTTGGTGTTGAACCGGGTTGCTAGAGAGATACACGACACTAACATTGTCACAATACACTACTGTTGCTTTCTTGGTAGGACAATGAAGTTCGAGGAGAAGGTTGCGAAGCCAACACGGTTCAACCACAGTGTTAGAAACACGGAGCGAAATAAATCTAGGAAGATCATGAGATTAAATTATCTCCAAGGAACACGCAGTAGCCTGAGGTAGAGCGGCGGGTATCGGGGTAGCCACCCCAATTCGCATCCGAGTAGGAGATTAACCCACTGATGGATGATGGGTAGAGGTGTAGATCGAGGTGAAGTGTACCCTAAAGATACTGCAATATGCGAGTGAATGTTAAATATTGTAGTGCCCCAACAACTCTTCGATAGAGAGGGGGATTATCAACCGAAGGCCCGGAGGTAGAGCTCAATTTTGCTTTAGTGTCACTAGGGGTGGCCGAAGGCTTGCATGAGGACATATTAGCTCGAGCAATTATATCAGCGATATAGGATTTCTGAGAAAGGAAGAGCCCTCCAGAGTGTCGAGTGACAGAAATTCCAAGAAAGGAGCTAAAAGGACCAAGGTCAGTCATGGAAAATTCGGACCTTAGACGGGTAATAATAGAGAGTCGAAGATCATTAGAAGAGGCAATGAGAACAATGTCGTCGACATAAGGAAGACTATATGCCATGCCAAGTCTTTTCCATGAGAGTAGATGAATAAGGAGTTGTCATACTTACCATGGGAGAACCCGATTGTGGCCACAAATGAAGCAAAATGATGACACCAAGTCCTAGTAGCTTGTTTAAGGCCATTAGGGCCTTTTTGAGAAGACACACATGACCCGGAGGATTTTTATCACGAAGGCTGGGAGGTTGGTGCATGAAAACAGTTTCGGCAATGTAACCATGGAAGAAAGCATTTTTCGCATCCATTTGGTGAATAGATCAAGACTTGGAGAGAGCAATGCTAAGAACTGTAAGAATGGTTGCCGGTTTGACCACCGGACTAAAAGTCTCATCATAATCGACACCAACCTGTTGATTCCTGCAATTAACCACAATGTAAGGAGGGTATTTCCAATGTAGGGGATCTTCCTCCTTAGATGCCCTTGGCCCTTTAAAAGCCTAGGACTTTACACTTGTTAGGGTGTATTAGGATTTGGATTCCTGACTATTTGGGAGACCTTGAATTAGAGTTGATCCAATCATTACGCTTTTTTGTAAGAAACAAGTAAGGAGTTGCCAATGAGTTTTAGAAAAACTCATAAACCTCGTTCATACCTTTCTCCCAAGTAGATTTCAAGGGATATTTTGCACGAATCGTAAGTTTACCCATGCCCAAATTGGTCTACGTGTACCAGAGATGAGTTTGGGAGCGAGGGTACTAAAATAGCGTTCCTTTTAGGGAGGAATCACTATTCTAGCCCTAGTGCAGCCTCTACTAGCTCTTCCTTTTTAACAATTTCATCACCAAACAATATATGCAATGTGACACCTAAAACTAAGTTAGTTAATTTTATTTAAAAGCATTAATCACATAAAGATTACATTGCAACGAATGTCACTATTCTTTTTAATCAAATTCGTGAAAGAACAAAAGTAAACAAGATTTGCCTTGACTTAGGTGATAAAACAATCAATTAATTATTCAATTCTAGTCTTTAATTAACGAAATAATACTATGTGAATTAAATAATTAAATTTTTTTTATAGTGATCAACCAACACTAACTAATTAATTAAAGTAATTTAAACAATAAAAGAAAAGTGATTTATCTAAGTGCTCATGAAACTAACGTTCTTCTTTTATGCATGCTTAGATATCCGTCTTATGCATTTATGGACTTTCTTTCTTCTTCGTACCTCCAAGGACTTAAATGGATTCAATTAGGGTTGGAAAGTATTTGGGAAGAGAGAAGAAAAGTAGTACGATAAGAGGGTTCGAGAGATTAGGGATTTCAGAATTTAGGGTTTAAGTTATGATTTTTCTGTTCTGTTTAGGCTAAGTGAAGACCCCTATTTATAGGCGTAGAAATCTAGGTTTAGGGTTTTAGAGTCGCTGCGTCAGGTGGCGCGCGCAACTCTTTGAGTCGCGTTGGGTTCCGCGCGCATCTCAATGAATCGCGCGTGCTTGAGTTGCGCTAGGTGCGGTTTGCCTTATATGAAAACGCGTTTTTAAAACTTTCATAACTTTTTATTGTGATGTCGGATTAAGGCGTGTGAGATATCATTGAAACGCTATGAATGTCTAATTTCCAATGCCGTTAAAGTTAGGTTAAAATATTTTATGGATCAAAAGATATTTCTGTTGGAGTGCAAGGGTGTTGGTTTTAGGGCCCAGTTTAGTATTTTGATGATAACTTCTTCATTAGCTCGGAATTGGGCTTATAATATATCGTTGGAAAGCTCTTTGAAATGGCTATCCATCTGTATAGGTCTTCCAAGGATTGTTTTATCAGTTTGGCTCTGTTTTCAACAATGTAAGATCCATTGGATCGAATCATTACATTTGACGCATTTGGGTCCGTTATTAATCAAGTTTAAACATGTATGAGCACGTTTTAGGCCTAATTAGTAATCGGACAAGACTTTAAGATAACTTGATCTCAAATATGGGTTATAACTTACTTCATAATAGATTTCGTAGGCCATAAACACTTGAACTCTGATCAAGCATGAAGACAGGTTTTTATAACACCATTGCACTTCCTGTTGGGACAGGAGGCCAAAAGTAGGTGTATACACACAAGACAAAATTTTTTCCTCTAAAAAAAACATTAGCATTATTTTTATGTTTATAAAGCCACATACAAGGAATCACACTGACATTTTTAGGACGTGGCACTAACTCTCACGTCTTAGTTAAGAGCGTTAAATTCATCCATCATGGCATTCTTCCAATTCGGGTCAGAGAGGGCGACTTTGGGATTACGGGGTAGAGGTGAGGGAGTAGTATGGAAATTTAAGTTAAAAAATACTTTTGGCTTAAAAATCCCATGGGAGCTATGAGTTTTCACCTACAAAGAGGGAGGAGGAGGCATGCCAACAGGCTGGGTCGCTGGAGGGCTATAAGTGATGCGTAGAGATGCGAGGTGGGCCTGATTAGATGGGCTAGAGGAGTTGGTGGCCGGTAAGGAGCCAAACAGGATGGGATTTTTGTGAATGCGAGGGGTCCTAGGGGAAAGGGAGCCTAATGAGGGAGAGGTAGGAGGCCTTTATGGTGAGCAAAAGATTTGGGAGTGATAGACCAGAGTGGACTGGGTCGTGGAAACATGAGAAGGAGAGGGCACGTGGGTCACTGCTGAAGTTTTGGGTGGAGTGTATAATTGATGGACTAAAGTAGGGGAAATTCCATCATTCAGAAAGTCATAATCAGTAGGGGTGGGAGTGTGAATTTTTTTAAAAGGAAAATTGAGTTTCTTTAAAAATTACATGGCGTGAAGCCGTGAAATAATGATTTTTTGACTAGAGATATTGTAGCACTTATAACCACGATGATTAAGTGGATATCCGTGGAAACACATGGTGTGGAGCAGGATTGAAGTTTGTGGAGAGAGGGAGAGGGAAGAAGAGGGTAGCAAAGACTACATCTGAAAACCCATAAGTGAGAGTAAGATGGGTCTCGTTGATATAGAATTTTTGTCGGAGAGTCGTTATTAGGAGTTTGGTGGGTATAATGTTATGGAGGTACGTGTCCATTTGGAGAGCATGGTGCCAAAAATACGGTGGCACGGAGGAATGAGCAAGAAGAGTACATATCATATTATTGATAATACGTATTTTTCTTTCGGCTTTCCCATTTTGAGGGGATCAGAAGTGTGGGGACATGAGAAACAAAACACCATTCCATGAGAAACACAAAAATTTTGGAAAGCATCATTATCATATTCACCACTATTATAACATTCAAAGCATTTCACATCATGTTTAAATTGAGTATGAGCCAAGACATTTAATTATAGGAATATATCATGCACATGAGATTTTATGGCAATAGGAAAAGTCCAAAGGAAATTGGTATAATCATCCAAGAAAAGCACATAATAATGATTCCCATTCACTACTAAGTTTAGGAGAAGTCCATATGTCATTATGCAAAATGTCAAATGACAATGTAGTACAGGTAGTAGAAGGATAAAAAGGGAGTTTCACATGTTTGCAACTAATACAAGAAGAACACACAGTAGATTGTAAAATCTTATTACATTGAGTAAAATTGTTCATCTTGAGAGAACTCAAAACTTGTGTCCTGGGGTGGCCGAGACAATCATGCCACAAAGAGGAGGAAAGGGTTGCAAGGACGGTAGGAGAGGAGGCGAGATTGGCGGTGTTGGTGAGAGGATAAAGCTCCCCGAGCTGTCACATCTCATACGGATGGTCCTCGTCCGAAGGTCCTTCACAGAAAAACCAACAAACAGATCAAATTCTATGAAAACGTTATTATCACTAGTGAACTTTCGAACATAAATCAATTTTTTTTATGAGGTTAGGGGCATGAAGTGAAGGAGTTATGTCTTCGATAAGTGCAATTACTAGATATATCAAGGATCACTATTATGAAGATAATAAGTTCGTTCTTTTAGGTCGTCATTGTTAGTTGCTAGATATGACAAATGATCTTTGGGCTAGTTAAATGGTCCAAAGCCCAATATAATGGATCCTATGAGGTCACACACAAGGGTATTGGGTTAAACAAGTAAGAGGCCCATTAATGGGCCTCATGAGATTATTACATACCATGTAAAGTGTTGGGCTAGAGTAGTGTGTTTAGGATAAGGTGTTTGGGCTTGACATGGACTCTTATTTAGAGATATGATCTATAAATAAGATCCAGGCCTAGGGTTGCAAGAAGTAATAATTAACTTACAGTAAGTTTGACATCAAAGCAACCAAGTCTAAAAACCCTAAACACTCTCATCACCTCACGGCCCTCCCCTCTCCCCTCACGTCCGTACGTGCGGCTCCCCCTCGTGGTGGCTCGTGGTGTTCATTGTGGTGGTTTGTGGTTAGCTCGTGTCTCTCTTCTCTGTTGAAGGTAAATTGAAGCGTTCAATCACGACTAACTAGCATTAGTGGAGGTTTAACTTGTGCCCATGGACCAAGTAGAGGAATCACGCTTGGGGTTCTTTATCTCCCATTGTTCTTGCTCAATCGCACGTGGAATCACGCTTTAAAAAAGTTACGATTATATGTTCTTTATGTGTTATGCATTAGATCTTGGGATTAGGTACTGTATGAATATGATTCATGTTTATTTCCGCTGCGTAGTACCTATAATTCCTTACATGAAGAACATTATTTAAAGCGGAAGGAAGGAAGGAAACATTTCCATAGCCACGAATTGGAATGCCACTGTCATTACCAACAATTATTTTTCAATGATTATTGCTCAAATTAAAATAAGACAAGAGATTACCTTATTGGGACGTCATGTGCGATGTAGCGCCGGTGTCCATGTACCAATTGTCATAGGAAGGAGTAAGCGAGAAAGTGTCAAGAGCAGCCTCAACATTAGTAGGAGCGTATCCAACCAAAGAGGGAGCCTGAACTGTGAAGGCATGTTGCTGTTGTTGTGGTTTGGGGCCAAGGATGCCACTCTGGTGCGTGTGGTCTGGGCCTAATAGGAGGTCGAGCCCAAGGAGCTTTTGGTTACGGACATGGCATAGCCCATGGGGGGGGGGGGGAGCCCAAGCACCCCAAGGTGGGTATTGCCATGATGGCGAGTTGCCCCACTTCCATGGTTGAGATGGCTGTTGGTGATGTTAATGAGTAGAGCCACAACCACCGCGACCTTTCCCATTACGACCGCCGCTGCCACGACCCTTGTGGTTCCCACCGTGACCACCACCGGGGTTGTTATTTTTGTGTTGGTTGCGCTGGCCATGAGAGAAGTGAACGTCGTTCACTTGAGATGAATTCCCCGCAACCATTAAAGCGGAGCCAACTGCATTGGCTTAATCAGAAGCTTGATTGGCTTATCGTGACTCCTCCAAGGTAAGCATAGAATGAGCTTTTTAAAAGGAGACCGGAGGGTCAGATTGTTGAA